AACAACGAATTTGCAATTTTTGGGAAAAATTAATATATTTTTCAAAAATTGTTCATTCTAAAATACTGACGTATATGTGTGATAATTGAATTAATACTTTGGCTGTCAAGCAAACAATCTCGAAAACTTCATGAAATTAAAGTATCTTACTGGATTGACTAATAATTAAAAAATAAAATTGTACGACATTAAGTACTTTTTCAACATTCTTATATTTTGCGATTTTTTTATAAAATTTGGAAATTAGAATAGATTAGCATAGAAGGAAATGGTATAATAAACAATTCTCCTGGGAATCGCTTTTATGCTGTTCAAGTTGTAGTCTTGAGATTATTTGTTGTAAGCATTTAGATTTTGCAAATAAGAATAGCACATAAGCCTTAACATTTTATCTCCCGAATGTTTAAAGCACAAATAACTATAAGCGGTGTTGTGTTTTAGATAGTTTCCACCAGATAGCTACAAGGAGAGAACATTGTTGCTGACATTTAAAACAATGAAACCGAGTTTGAAATACATTTGTAACGGAGAAGTTGCTGCTTAAATTGTGGCAGGAACAATGGAAACATCTACCTTATTATAGTCTGTATCTGCGCTTTCATGTAACGTGAAAATGCACATATATTTGGTAAAACGAAGAAAGATACGACTTGGAAATTTATAAATCTCGATTACAAACAATATGAATTCGAATTTAATGTAAAAAAATATATCTAATTTAAAGATTTTGACTACAGTTATAAACACCAGAGAGAACTATTACTCAAGGGTCGTTTCGGTGGCATGATCGTCATTCGCATTAGTATCAGAATCACGGGCGGCCAATTCCGCGCGTGTCGCGTATCCGAATTCGTTCGCGCGGCTTCATTACGCGTTATAATTACTCCACTAATTAATTACAGCAAGTTCGAGTCGGAAACTCGTGTCTGTCGAATCCTGCACCGATGTCAATACATAATACAGCTGTTTACATACTTGCTCGTGGACGCCAGCTAGACGCGCACAAAGCAATTAATGCCGTTTACCGTAATTAGTTCCCCGACATTCTCAAGATTTAATTAACGTCGCATGACAATTTGTTACACACCTGAGAAGCACGGTGTGTGCTGACAAACTTTTGTTCGCATCCGCTTGCAGAGGAGCGAATATTGAGTAATGAGATAACATTTTATTCAAATAGCAATTTAATATATAAATATTATAATATTATTATAATTATATGAGAATTATAGAATACTGTCTCAGAGACAGAAAATATTCGATCAAAATCATTAATGTGATTGCTGAAAGAATTATTCGGGCATATATCTATTTAAAATGAAGAATACTATTATATGTATATATTATAGATAAATATAAATTTAATAATATTCTTGTGAGAGGAGTTGTTATGTTATTTTTTCTTTTCACCTAATATATAAATAATTATATAAATTATACAAAAATTGAGGTTGTTTGAAACGATATCTTTAGTCTTTAGTTGTGTCTCCTAAAAAAGAGCAGACACATGTTCATTTTTATTCTTTATATTTGACAGGTTTTGTAATTACCTTTTTGTGTTTAGTGTATTTTGTGTGCCCAAAAATTGTTTGCCTCTTATTATAAACATATAAAATATATAAAGATGATGTTTCATAAAGTATTTGTCAAGAATCACAAAAAACTTAGAAAATGATTTCTGTTTATTTTTAAGCAAAATATATATATATATATATATATATATATATATATATATATATATATATATA